AATTACCTCAAAATAGATCACAAACCTAAATGTAAAATGTGAAACTATAAAATCTCCTAGAAGATAACATAAGAGAAAATCTAGATGATCTTCGGTTTGGCAATAACTTTTTAGGTAAAATGCCAAAGGCACAATCCACAAAAGAAAGAATTGATAAGCTGGATTCACTAAAATTAAAAATTTCTGCTCTGCAAAAGACACTGCCAAGAGAATGAAAAGACAAGCCACAGACTGGGAGAAGCTATTTACAAAAAGCATATCTCATAAAGGACTGTTATCCAAAATACACAAAGAACTCTTAAAACTCAATAGTAAGAAAGCAAACAACCCGATTGAAAAATGGGCGAAAGACCTTAACAGACAACTCACCAAAGAAGATATACATACGGCAAATAGCCTAGGAAAAGATGATCCACAGCATATGTCATCAGGGAAATGCAAATTAAAACAATGAGAAGTCACTACGTACATATTACAACGGCCAAAATCCAGAACACCAACACCACCAAATGCTGGAGAGGATGTGGAACATCAGGGAGTCTCATTCATTGCTGGTGGGAATGCAAACTGGTACAGCCACTTTGGAGGATAATTTGGCAGCTTCTTACAAAACCAAACATACTCTTACGTATGATCCCACAGTCATACTCCTTGGTATTTACCCAAGGGAGTTGAAAACTTACACCCACACAAGAACTTGCACATGGATGTTTATAGCAGCTTTATTTATAATTGCCAAAAATTGAAAACAACTAAGATGTCCTTCAGTAGATGAATGGATAAATAAACTGTGGTACCTCCAGATAATGGACTATTGTTCAGTACTAGAAAGAAATGAGCTACCAAGCCATGAAAAGACATGGAGGGAACTTATATGCATATTACCAAGTGAAAGAAACTAATCTGAAAAGGTTACATACTGTATGATTCCAACTACGTGACATTCTGGAAGAGGCAAAACTATGGAGGCAGTAAAAAGATCAGTGGTTGCCAAGGGTTAAAGGGGAGGGAGGGCTGAATAGGTGGAGTACAGAGGATTTTTATGGCAGTGAAACTACTCTGTATGGTGCTGTAATGGTGGATACATGACATTATACATTATTCAAACCCATAAAATATACAACACCAAGAGTGAACCCTAATGTAAACTATGGACATTTGGTGATCATTATGTGTCAATGTAGGTTCATCAATTGTAATGAATGCATCACTCTGGCGGAGGATATTGATAATGGGGAAGGCTATGCATGAGTGGGGGCAGGAGACATATGGGAAATCTCTGTATCTTCCTCTCATTTTTGCTGTGAACCTGAAAAATAAGATCTATTAAAAAAAATGATTCAACGTTCTGCCTTTCATATTTAAGTCCTTAATCTGCCTGAAGTTTATTTTTGTATGTGGTGTGAGGATGGGATCAATATAATTATTTTCCCAACTTAATTATTTTCCACATGGATGTGTGATTGTCCTAGCATCATTTATTACATACTCTTCACTTTCCCCAGTTATCTGCAAGACCTCTTCTGTCATAGATCAACCAGAATCTCTCTTAAGTTGCATCTGTCATTTGTCTTTGCCTGAGCCATTACAACACCATCCACGGCTTTACAGTAAGTCTTACCTGGTAGAAAAAGTCCCTCAACTTTTGCTTCTTTTCCTTACAGAGTATTTTGACTATCTTAGCCCCTTGGTTTTCCATGTAAATCTTGGAATCAATTTATCAAGTTCCATGAAAAACCCTGGAATTCCATTGAACATATAAATCCATTTGGAGAGAATTCATACCATTATGATCTTAAGCCTTCCTAACCACTTTCGTGGTATTTCTTTCTATTAATTTGGGTCTTCTCTAATTGCTTTCAATAAGATTTTATCATTTTTCTCCATAGAAGCCCTACGCATCTTCTGTTAGATTTATCCTAGGTACTTTACAATATTTTTTCCTAATGAAAATTGTATCTGTTTTTTTTAAATTATGTTTTCTAACTATTTATTGTTGATGTACAGAAATGCAATTGATTTTTGCCTCTCCACCTGACTAGCTACCTTATTAAACTCTTACTATTTCCTTTTAATTTGTCTGTACATTCTTTTGGAGTTTGTAGATAATCATATTGTCTGTAAATATTGGCAGGTTTTTTTCTTACTTTTCAGCCATTATGCCTTTTACTTTTTATTCTCTTACTGCAGTGGCTAGAACCCTCTATACAATGTTGAAAATATGTGGTGAGAGTGGGCATCTCTGTCATTTTCCTGATCTTAAACGGATGGTTTTCAATTTTTCACTATTAAATATGATGTTTGCTGTGGGTTCTTTATTTACTTTTTACCAACTATCTACAAAAAAAAAAATCTTTTTTCTGTAGTGATGTTTCCTTTCACCTTCCTATTTTTTTCCTTGATCAATCTTGACAGAGGTTTATCTATTTTGGCTTTCTTGATTTACTTGTCTTCTATTTCACAGATTTCTGCCATCTTTATTTTCTTTATTTTAGGGGTTTACATTCTATTTTATCTTTCTACTTTCTTTTTCTATTTACTCAGTTTTCAGCTTTCTTCTTCCGTTTAAAGATATAGGCATTTAAAGCACAATGTAATACCTTTAGCTCCCCAAAAGTTTTGAAGTGTAATATTTAAATTATTGCTCAGTTCTAAGTGTTATTATTTAATTTCCATTAATTATCCTTTGACTTGTCAGTGATTTAGAAGTCTGGTTTGAAATTTCCAAATGTATACAGCTTTTAAAAATGGACTTTATGTTAGTGCCTCCTAACAATTTATGTTAGTGACTCCTAACTTACATTGTGATCAAAGAATATGCTACCTATACTGTATATTACTATCCTTTAACATTTGTTGAAACTTTCTTCATGGCCAATTACATGGTGAATTTTTTTCAGTGATCCATGTGCACTCGGCTTAGGAAAATGTATACTCACTTGTCGTGGGGCACAGAATTCTATATACGTCCACTAAATCAAGCTTGTTAATGGTGGTACTAATTTTTTATCTGCTTCATTTATTGTTAATAGAGAAAGAAGAGTTGAAATCTACAACTGTTATGGTGGATTTGTCAATTTCTTTCTGTATTTTTATCAATTTTTGCTTTATATATATATTGAGGCTATGTTATTAGGTGCATACAAGTTTAGAATGTCTTCTCAATGACTTGAACCTTATATTATTAGGTTGTGAAACTCTCTATTGCTAATAGTGTGTTTTTGGTATAAAAATTAATTTTGTCTGATATTAATATACCGACCCAGCTCTCTTTTTGGTTAGTACTGGCTTAGTGTATCTTTTTTCCTTTTTTTTTAACTTCATCTTTCCTGGATCCTCATATTTTAGTTGTGTCTCTTGTAAATAGCACATAGCTGGATTTTCTTTGCTTATCTAATCCAAAACTCTCCTTTAACTAGTAACATTAATCCATTTACTTTTATTTTGACTACTTATATATTTGGATTTGTTTTTACCATTTATTTTTTAGTTTTATTTTTTTCTATGTTGACTTTTGCTCTTTTGTTGTCTTTTCAAACGGAATTTTTCTGTTCTTTTTTTATTATTGCATTTTCTGCATGTGTAGAAATTTATGAACTCCATTTCTATTCTTTTGGTGAATACCTTTACATTTTAATCATAAAAATTTAACTCTATAAAATCTAAAATTAAACACTATCTTAATTCCTTCTTCCGTGAAGGACCTCAGAATACTTCAACTCTCATCACCCCTCCCAATTTATATTCTGTTCTTGTGTGTGTGTGTGTGTGTGTGTGTGTGTGTGTGTGTGTGTGAAGAAGATGAGCCCTGAGCTAACATTCGTTGCCAATTCTCCTCTTTTTTTGCTGAGGAATCTTGGCCCAGAGCTAACATCTGTGCCCACCTTCCTCTACTTTATATGGGACGCCGCCACAGCATGGCTTGATAAACGGTGCATTGGTCCATGCCCGGGATCCAAAACTGCGAGCCCCAGGCCCCCAAAGTGGAGTGTGTGAACTTAACCACTACACCACCAGGCCGGCCCCTAGTCTGCTCTTTTTTTAATCCCACAACTTTGGTATTTTTATAACTTTTTAAAAAATACAGACAATATTTTCTTAAATTCACCAAAATATTTACAATTTTATTTGCTCACTATTCTTTCTTGCATCCCAGACCATGCTGTTGGCATCAGATATCTTCTCCTTAAAATATGTTTTTAGAAGTTGCTTTGGTGAAAGTGTGTTGGTTTTAAAATATCAGTTTTTCTTCATTTGAAATGTCTTTATTAAAATATAATTTTTTTGGGTACACAATTCTAAGTTAACAGTAATTTTTTCAAAATACTTTGAAGATGTTATCCCACTGTTTTCTAGATTTCATTGTTGCTGTTGAGAAGTCTGCTTTCAATCCACTTGTTGTTCCTTTATAGGTGATCTGACTTTCCTTTCTGGATACCTTTAAGCTCTTCTTTTTGTCTTTGGTGTTCTTGAGTTTAACCACTATGGTGTGTGTGTGGGTGCACACGCAGAAAAGGGAGTCCTTGGAGATTTCTCTCACTTCTCACAATCTCAGCAGTGCTTTAAAAAGTATATTTTAATCATAAACCAGTTGTTTTGTAAGAGGAAGGTCCCTCAGAGTACTGGTCTTCCATAATTCCAGAAGCAGAAGTCTGTGTGATTCTTTGTATACGCACAACCCTGTGTGTGCACATTTGTGGAGTGTGAACCTCTGGGTGTGCACATCACTCTATGCACACATCAGTGTGTGTGTCTTTGGCGTGCACATCTCTCTGCTATTTTCCTAGTGCAAGTGTAAGCCCTCCAGGTCAGGGGATCTTCTTTTTGTTTCTCACTACCTCCTGACAACCTCCCAGTACTTACTCCCACGGTCAGGGGAAGACTGACTGCCATCTGGTGTTTACACTTGTTGGGAAAAGCAAGAATGCTGGTGAGAGCGGTGGTGGACCAGGCCCCACCTCACTGTGTCTCTCTGTCCTCCCCATCTGTCTCTTCCACAGCTCTGCCCCCAAGGGCTGCACATCCTTCAGCATCAGTGCCTCCCCAGGAGTGGCCGTAGATGTTGCCCACAGCCCTCCAGCCAAGAAGAATCCCACAGGCTCCTCCAAGTGGCCCCTGGACCCGGGGCTGGAGGTGCGCCTGAGGATGACAACTGCCAGCAGTAGCAGAGGTGACCAGAAGGTGAGTGTGGCAGCTGTAGGGCGGGATGTGTGGGAGGAGGTCAGCAAGTCCTAGCAGGTCAGCTACTCAGTCTGTCTCACATTGACCCACAGCCCCAGACCTGACAGAGCCTCCCTCTCTCTGGAAAAGCTCACGATGGCTTGTTCCAGCCATAGCATCCTCACAGACTATGCCAGGGGTTCGTGGAGGTCAGGGTTTTGATTAAATGCATTCATTCAGCAAATGTTTCATGATCACCTACTACATGCCAGACACTGCCAGGCACTGGAGATACAGAAATGAACAAGACGGGTGAGGCTACAACCCTCCTGGGGCTTATGACCTATGGGCGAGAGCATCAGATAATACACAGGTAAACAACTACAAATGGTAGTGAGCACTGTGGAGGCCGCTGCCAGCAGCCCCAGGAGACTTTGGTCCATGCCTGTGTATTTAGTTTGCTGTGGCTGCTGCAACAAATTACCACAAACCATTGGCTTAAAACAACAGAAATGTATTCTCTTGCGGTCATGGAGGACAGAAGTCTGAAATCAAGGTGTCGGCAGGGCTACACTCCCTCTGCAGCATCTCGGGGAGATTCAGTTTGTTGCCTCCTCCAGCTTCTGGTGGCTACTGGCATTCCTAGACTTGTGGCCGCATCACTCCAATCTCTGCCTCTGTGGTCACATTGCTTCCTCCACAGTCTGTCGAATCTCCCTCTGCCTCACTCTTAGAAGGACGCTTGTCATTGGATCTAAGGCCTGCCTGGACCATTCAGGATGATCTCATCTTAAGATCCTTAACTTAATTACGTCTGCAAAGATCTTCCCCAAATAAACTCACCTTCACAGGCTCCAGGGATTAGAATGTAGACATATCTTTGTGGAGACCACCATTCAACACCCTGTACCCCCTTTGACTGCAGATGGGCTCAACAGGACCCCCCTGGAGTTCCCACAGAGATCCGGGCCAATGACCACTTGCTCCCAGCAGGCCAGGCCAAGCAGGCTCCCCCCTGGGGCGGAGCTGTTGCCTGCTGTAGGAGCACAGAGCTTGGGCACCAAAGCAGGTCAGGGAGGGTGCAATCAGCGAAAACTTCCTGGGAGAAGTGGCAAGTTGAAGTATAGTAGGAATGATCTGCCTAAGAGAGGGAGAGAGTTCTATGTAGGGGATGTGGCCTGTGTGCACACTCTGGATGAGGAGAGGGTGAGACACATGTTGGGGAAACTGAGGAAGATCTGTATGGCAAGAAAGGAGGCTGGTGAGAGAGGTGGGGGAGAGAGGGAGTCAATATGAGAGGGTTTGGCATCAGGGACCTCCTTTTCTGAGAGCAACTGGAACCCAATGAGAACCTTTCACCCAGGGAGTAACAAGACCACATTTGTGTGTTAGAAAGACCCCACCGGCTGCAGTGTAGCGGGTTGACTGGATCCGGGCAGTAGACTGGGGCAGGGAGCCCAGTCAGGAGGCTGATGGTCCAGACACGAGGTGCGGTGGCTGCGACATCTCCCCGGAGCCCCCCTATCTACAGGACAGATCTGGACACCTCAGTGCGCCCGCCCAAGAGCTCCTCTCCTGGTGGCAGCTCTTTGGTTTTGCTTTGGGGAACTCCCTCCGCCATTTTGCTCCGAAATGTCAATCCTGATGCTCCGCCCGCCTCTGGCCAGGCTGGACCAATCAGACGTTTTCTCCTGGATTTTCAACCTCGGGCAGAGGGAGTTGGGGTTTCTGAATCTCAACAGCGCCCCCTGATGAGACCACTGGCCCTTCAAAACTCCTGCTCCCCAGATGAGGGCTCGGGCGCCAGGGTTTCCGAGGTCTGGTTCTTCGGGTCTCCTCCATCCCTTCTGCTTGTGGGAGCCGGTTTCTGGGGCTTGTAACCAGCGCTCCCCCTCTAATGCCTCTTCCACCACGTCTCCAGCTGCTGAACTCCTACTCCCCTCCCGAGACCTGCCTCAAAGTGTGCCTCCCTGACACCAACCAGGCAGAGTAAGCCCCCCATTCTCGGGCTCCCATAGGACCCTCTTCTGTGCATCACGGTCATTCGCAGGTTTTGCTACCCCTCCACTCCCACAAGTTAGGATGCTCCTTACAGGCTGGGACCCCTTCTTGCCCATCGTTGTCTCCTCAGCATCCTGCCCTGAGCTGGCACATAGCGGGGGTCCAGTTAGTGTTTGTTGAATGAGTAAGAGAAGTCATTGGTGGTTTGCTGCTTCCTGTAGGTTCAGATTTCATACTACGGACCCACGACTAACCTGGTCCAAGCCCTGCTCTATGTCACCGGGGTTGGTAAGTGATCTTGGATCTTGGAGCGCTCCTCCCGCAACCCCTTCCACACACACCCTTCTGCAAGGCATCTTTCCAGGACAAACTACACCCTGGAGCTTACTTGAGACTGAGCAGAGAAAAAGGACAATTTCTAGGCAGTCATACATCTGGTAGTTCACAAATATTCCCCCCCACCCCAGTAAGTGAACCACAAAGAAAGACAACTGGGGAGAGGGAGTTTGCAGGGAGCTTCACTTACATCTCAATATTTATTTCTCAGCTTGGAAGTGAGTACATGGATTTTCAATATATGAGTCTCTATACCTTTTTGACTCTTCAAATATTTATAAGAAAAAGTCTTATACAATAATATAGACTAGTGTTCCCCAAATTCCGTTATTTACATCCAGTCTTCACCATTTTTGCCATATCAACTATCTACTTAAACTCATATTTATTTAATATCCCTCTTCAAATAAAGTATATTTTTTAACTTGACCTCATCTTGAACAATAATATCATGATATAATTATTATTTAAGTGTGCATTAAATATATGAAAAGCATGTGAAACCTCCAGGTTTCATTTCATTAATGAATTTCATTCATGAATACACACTCATTTTATTAATACACATTTTAATAATAATAATAATAATAATATAGCACGTACTCTATGCCAGGCCCTGCGCTAAGATTTGACATTTAAACCTTACAAGAATGCGGGCCGGCCCTGTGGCTTGGTGGTTAAGTGAGCGCGCTCCACTGCTGGCGACCCGGGTTCGGATCCCGGGCTCGCACCGACGTGCTGCTTCTCCGGCCATGCTGAGGCCGCGTCCCACATACAGCAACTAGAAGGATGTGCAGCTGTGACACACAACTATCTACTGGGGCTTTGGGGGGAAAAAATAAATAAAAAAATAAATAAATAAAAAAAAACCTTACAAGAATGCAATGAAATTGGTACAATTATTATCCCATTTTACAGATGAGAAAACTGAGGCACAAGCAGTAAACAGACTTAGCCAAGATCACACATCTGGTTAGTGAAGGAGCCCAGAAGTTCAGGCCACCAAGCACTATGCCACTCTGGCCTGACACTGATGTGTGGATGTGGATATGTTAAAATGTCATCCAGTCAGTGTCACACTGTGAGCTCACAGGTCGCTGTATCACTCTGTGAGACCTAAGTTATTGGAATGATGGTGTAGTCGTGTTCTGATGAGGGAAGAAGGACTTAGAAACAGATATGTTTTCTTAGCCATGCCATTTGGAAAGAGCGGAGTATGTTTATTGCCATGATTTGTCCCCGGTGCAGTCACAATACACATAATGAAGACCCGGGTGGGGTTGGAGTAACCACTCTGTCCCCCACCCAAGGTCACGGGGGCTGGAGTTGGGGCCAGAGGCCTTTGAGAGCCTGGCAAGGTGTCCTTGTAGGGGCTTCACACCAAACATCCCATGGGGGTGGCTGGGAATTCCTTCTGAAACCCCTGGGGGTGTCCAGACATGCATGGCTGGCATCAGGGTCATGGCGTGGCCCCCCGAAGGAGAATGGATGTGGTCAGAAGCCCCCACTCTGTTGTTTGAATTGCAGTCAGACTTATTCTTGGGGGACACGGTGGGGGTGTGGGGCTTTGAACCTGTGACGACTCTGAAGGGGAGGGAGAGAAGACTTGGAGCAGACAGTCTCCTGGGGAAAGCATTGTCCATTGGGGACAGGCTGAGTGCCCCACTCTGTACCCTCGCCAACCCTCTCCTCTTACTCGCCGGATTTCAGAAATCTCCTTGAGCGCGGACATTACCCGCACGGGCCACGTGAAGCCAACCAGAGCCGGGGAGAACAAGGTACGGCTCAATCTTGATGGATGCCGCTGCTCGTAACTCCAGAGTTTTCCTCAGGCGCCCCCTTGTGGTGATGGGGTGAATGGCAGCCTGTCTATTCACCCGTTCCCGTGTTCGCTGTAAAAGAGACAAAATTTAGGAAGAACAAGAAAAAGAAGAAAATTAAAATCACCACTACCACTTTGGTTTATATATCTCCCATCTCTTTTACAAAACTAGATTTCACCAGAGAATGTGTTGTCCTACAAACTGGGAGCTGCACAGTCTCCCAGTTAACACAGAGCAGAAAGAAAATTTGCAGGCAGCTCTCAACTCTAGCTCAAAAATCCCCTAGCCTAGGCTTTAACGGCCTCTGGGAGAGATTGCATGGTCACCAGGGGTGAAGAATAGACAAAGGAAGAAATGGCAGGAGATAGAGGAGGGAAGGACCCAGGTGGAGGCAGGGGATGTGTGTTCTGGAAAGATAGGGTGCGGGCTGTGCAGAGGTGAGGCGTGCAGGTGATGGGTAGTCTTCACTGGGGTCCGTGGATGAGCCTCAGCGTGTCCCTGAAACTCCAAAGCTGCACAATTTTTTGCTGATGTGCTCTTTAGGAGGCTGTGACCTGTCAAATTAATGGGGTAACCTGTCAAATTAAGGGGGTCAGTCAAAAGTGGGGGGAAGAATTACAGGGGAATCCATCCCAGTGTCCCACCCAAAACTCAGTCATTCCCCGGGGGCGAACACTCTGCTCTCCGCTACAAACGGAAGACATCATGGAGATTACCTCCCTCCCGGGAGGGGCTGCTTCATTTGCTTTAATCTTTGGACAGAGGGGAACCGGCTGCTAAGAATAGTGCGCACTCTTTGGTAAACGCATAATTAAGAGTTCACATGAGAGTAACTATTAAGATCAGGATCTTGACACAAATATTTAGCCCAGTTTGGTTTGCCAATCCAACAGTTTTTAAAAGCTGTTAAAATCAATTTTACTGGCTTGGGCTCCTTTTTTAAAGTGGATGAATTGCATTTTTGGTAAATTTCTTTACGACTTTGGGGGCAGGCAAAAATCCACTCTTGGGACCAAAGAGTTACCTGTAAACCACGGGAGGCTAATGAGATGCTAGGGAGAGATGGCCCCGAGAGTTGGGGACCTACACAGGTTCCTAAGCGCGCCCCATCCCTGCGGGGTGTCCGCAGAGGACCTGGACCTGGGGCCCTCGTGGACAAGGCGCCATCCTGCTGGTGAACTGTGACCAAGACGATCCCATGTCTTCCACCTTGGACTTCGAGGATGACAAGATGCTTGACAGCAAAGGTAAAGACCCACAGAGCTAATGGGAGCAGAAGTTTGGGTTTTATAAAGCCCTTGCTCCTCAGCCCTCAGAAATCAGGGGAAGCGTGTTCTTGTTACACGTCCATTGTATAGGAGAAGGAGTGGTCAGGGATCCTGAGAGGGTGAGTGGCCCACCCAAGGACACACAGCAGCCAGAGAAGAGCTGGGACCAACGCTGAGTCTCCCAGTACTTCCTCAGGCCCCAGTTTCTGTGGCCCAGCCCCCTGCCCATCCCAAACTTCTGTTCTTGGGTCAAACCTGGGGCCCAACATAATTCAACATGAAAACCTGACTCCTGCCTGAAACTCATGTCGGAGCAGCCCCGAGCCCCTGCCATGTGTGGGGCCCTGCTCTGACCACTTCAGAACTAACTCATTTGACCCTTCAACACAGGCTCAGAAATATGTACTGTCCTCATCCCCACTTTGCAGATGGGAAAACTGAGGCACGGGGAAGTTAAGTAATTTGCTCGAGGTTGCACCGCTAGTAAGTCACAGGCTCAGGATTTGAACCCAGCATCCCGACCCCAGGGCAGGTTTAGGGGCACAAGGGTGGTTGTACGTGCAAGGTCTCTGCTGGCACACCTCTGAGGTGTGGCCGGGGTGGAAGACACATTGCCCACCTGCACTGGAGGAGGGTGCTGAGGGGGTGAGGTCGGCCGGCTGCGGCAGTGCTGTGGCCTTCCCGGGGAGGTGCTAGGACTGCACAGAAGTGGAGGCGTTTGAAGCTGCATGCAGTTGGCCTGGCCTGGTGCCAGGCGGCAGCTTCTACCCGGTGCCTGGCACACGGAGGTAATCAAAATAGCCGGCACCTTTTGTGGGCACTCCCAGGACGCCGGGCACTAGGATGAGCTATCCATACATATGACCTCACTCTTCCCCCTGCGTGGGCACTACTCCCAGCCTTGTTCACTGATGAGGACACTGGCACCGAGAGCTGAAATACCCCCCCAAGCTCACCCAGGTCCAGGGTTCAAGCTTCGCCGACCCCAGTGCCCTCAACCCCGTGGCTGTCGTCAGCTTCGCTCTCCCCACGCCTTTGTCGGCCACTGTTCAGGTTGGGTCACCTCTCACACAGGCCCAGGGGAGAAGCCTCTGCACTCACTCGTTCCACAAATAGCCATCAAGCACTTGCCATGTGCCAGTGATTGTTCTAGGTGCTTCTAGGTTTTCTAGGTTCTAGGAGCTGGGGTGGAGCCATGAACAGGATAAATGTGGTCCCTGCTTTGCCGAGCTTACATCCTAAGCTCATCCTAGTGGGAGATGACCAGAAACTTGCTTAGCTTTAATTCCAAAACGAAAAGCATCATTTAAATACTAGAAAGAACATAAAAAAAATAAAACCAGGTGATGGTAAAGGGCGGTGGGGAAGGGGTGGAGGAGGAGGGGGAGGGGATGGGAGAGGAGTGGAGGGGGCAGGGTCTCAGGGGCCTGCTTCTCAGGCCATGCCCTTCTTGTTCCAGACCTGCAGGACATGTCCCTGGTGACCCTGAGCACGAAGACCCCCTGGGACTTCTTCACCACGCATCAGCTGGTGCTCCACGTGGCCAGATCGGAGATGGACAAAGTCAGGGTGTTCCATGCCAATCGTGAGTCATCCTTGGCCATTGTCTGGGTGTTCCCTTCCTGCCCCCGCCGGCGGGGCCCAGTGCCTTCACACCCGCTTCCGCTAATAATTCCTGAGCCCCTCCTGTGTGCCAGGTTCTAAGAACTGAGGACACAGCAGTGAGCAAGATACACAACATCTCTGCCCACTACCTTCTAGAAAGGACACACAGACAAAATGCAGACAAACAAACGAGATGCTGTCTGGTGCTGGTGAGCACCGAGAAGGAAATAACCCCCCTCCCGAGGACTGTTGTAATTGTTCTCTGTGTGTCTGTCTCTCTGTCTCTGTCTCTGTCTCTCACACACACACACACACACACACACACACACAGGACTCTTGTTTGCAGAGATTTTTGGAAGCAAGTGGCTGCATGTGTTATGTAATCATTTGTTCTCCAACATCCTGCAAATCAAAGACGTCAGAACTTCTCAGCGGCTTCTGGGCACCTGCTGCTGCTGAGAGCCAGGCTCAGTTCTAGGGACGGGGCACGGGACAAAGAACGTAAGAGTCCCTGCACTCACGTCGCTTTCTTCTCAGTGGGCTGAGAGACGATGTGTCAAACAATTAAGCAAAACACCCAGTGCGTCAGAGGGCGTGAAATGCTGTGCAGAAGGCGGCAGCGGAGCGGCGGGTGCGAGTGGGGGCGGAGTCAGGGCGTGGGTAGAAGGCGGTCAGGGAGGGCCCCCCCTTCAGGTGTCATTTGAGTAGGAGGAGCTGTGGGAACAGCCACCGGACACCCGGGGAAGGGCATTTTAGGCAGAGGGTACCGCAGGTGCCAAGGCCCTGAGGTGGGGTGGGGCCTGTGGACTTGAGGGATACGGGGGGCAGTGCGGCTGGAGTGCAGTGCATGAGGGTTGAGGCGGCAGATGAGGGTGGGGAAGAAACGGCAGAGGGGAAGGGACCAGGTCAGGGAGACGTGGAATGACTGGCTTCTAGTCCGAAGGAGAAGGGGGAGCCGTCAGAGGGTCTCGCGCAGAGGTACGACTTGATCCGACTCACTTCCATTCTAGACCAAAGTGATTAGGCTGACGTTGGTTTGGCGACAAGCCAACTCCTTGCCTCTGCCGAGGCATCACCTCCTCCAGGAAGCCTTCCCTGGCCCTCCGGGGTTCCCTCCATCACAGCACTGATTACTGTCTGTGATTTTCACTGTCTTTGCTCCTCCCTATTCACCCAGGAGGCTGTGCACTCCCTGGGGACCGGGACAGTGACTGTCACCCTGGTAGTGACTGTCACCCTGGTCTCCCCAGGTGTCAGCTGAGAGCAGGTGCTCGGGAATGAATGAATGCCTGGACAAACCATAATGTGTAATGGACTTCCTGTAAAGTTGGGAATGGCTCAGGCACCCCAGTCCCCCTATTCCTGGACCCCCAGCCAGGGGGGCGTTGTCCCAGCTGAGACTTTAGTCTCTTTCTCCTAAATGGAGGCTCTGGCCAGGTTTAGCAGTGAGGGGCCCTCAGGGGTGACATGCAGTGGCCCTGGGATGGCATCAGCACCAGGGAGGAGAAGACAGGGTCTGCAGAGGTGGGACACAGCTCTGAGCCTCCCCTGCCCTCCCTAGGGGACAAACAGCGCCCCGGGTACAGGGTGGTCCTGGGGCCTAAGCAGCCCTCCCACCTCCTGGAGCTCCCGGGCGGCCAGCACAGCACGGACTTCTACGTGGAGGGCCTCGCTTTCCCAGATGCCAACTTCCCAGGGCTCATTTCCCTCACTGTCTCCCTGCTGGCCACGAACAACCCGGTAGGCCAGGATGGCAGCCCAGACGGGGGACCTGGGCTTCCAGGCAGTGGCCCTGCTGTGGGTTTGGGGGGGAGGGCACAGTGCACAGCCCATCTGGGGAGGGGGCTCCAAATAGCCTCTGGGGAGTAGGTGTTGGGCCCTGGCTGCTGTGACGCCCCCCATCCCCCACAGGCGCTCCCCAAGGCCCTGGTTTTCCAAGACAGCGTGGCCTTCCGTGTGGCCCCCTGGATCATGACCCCCAACACCCAGCCCCCGAAGGAGGTGTACGTGTGCAGGTGAGGGGCCCAGAGTGCTGGGGGGGGGCACAGATACGCCAGGGGGAGCCCCGGGTTCTGGCCGCAGGCCCGCCGTGCACTCGCTGTGTGGGTGGGAAGACAGTTGTTATCCCTCTGCAACTCGCCGAGGGCCTGTGGCTTGCCTGGACCCGTAAAACGGCGGGGAAAATTATTCTTGTTGTTTTTGTTATAACTGTCCTGCCCTGATGCAGGCTGAGGGCTGCGTTAGCTCCGGGGCCTATAGAGTTTGCTAGACCTGGAGGGTGAGAACCCTCGATCCATGAGCCAGGCTTCCAGGGCTTCTCAGAGTGTGGCCCCTGGACCTTCTGCACCAAAAACCCCTGGGGACTCCTTTAAAATGCACTTTCCTGCCAACCTCTGACCTGCTGGGTCTCGTCCCTGGAGATGGCCCATCTGCGTTTTAACGAGCTGCTCTGGGAGCCTCATCCTGCAGACTGAGAGCACCTGTTGCGTATGGTGGGGTCTCAGGGGACCCTCCCCTCTCCTCTTCCAGTCACTTTGGGGCAGAAGGGGTGGGAGTGTAACCCGGTGGTCAGGGTGGGCTGGAAGCCAGCAAGGCCTGGGTTCAAATCCCAGTGCTGTCCCCACATGATGTGACCCTGAGCATTGACCGCCTCATTCTATCTTCTCTTTGGTGGAAGGGGGTACCCACTAGTGCCCCCCACAGATTGTTACAAGAATTCAGTGAGACGGTGCTCGCTAAGAGCAGAGACAGGACGAGCCAGGCGTCTCCGTCCAGGCCTGAGCTCCTGCTCCACCCCCGGGGACCCTGCGGGGGTCCAGTGCGCTCCCTCAGAGCCCGGCCAAGGCCGTGGCCACTGAATCCAGAGCACTAGGAGCTTCCTTCGTGCTCTTTCTAGGATACTTGAAAATGAGGACTTCCTGAAGTCAGTGACTGCTCTGGCCAAGAAAGCCAGGTGCCAGCTGACCATCTGCTCCGAGGAGGAGAGCATGGATGACCAGTGGATGCAGGTCTGTGGCCCCGTGGGGTGGGCGGGCCGGGGCACACAGGATGAACGTCCCTGAGGGTCAAGGGACACTGGAGCACCCGGGCTCTGGGGCTCAGCCTAGCACCTTGCTGGCCACCCTTCCCCAGATGGGCCGGGAGTTAGGAGCCTCTGAGGGTCCTTGCACAGGGGGCTCCGGCCAGTCATTCAAGTGACGTCTCCTGCGGGCTGCTGTGTGTCTGCCATGGTCACCAAGATGGAAGTCAGCTTCCCGCTTGGAAGCTCTCAGACGACCTTGGCAATGCTGCAAAGCTCACGAGGTCGGAGCTCAACAGTCCCTCGAGTGGCCATCCCTCCAAGCCAGCCTTCCTGGGCTGGGTCACCAGACCGGCCACACCCCTGCTCCAGCACCCTCCATGGCTCCCACCTCCTCCTTCTCAGCTTGCCCCCAGGGCCCTCCCGACCTGGCCACCCCCCTCACCTAGTGCCAGCCTGCCGGCGCACCGGCCACACTGTCACCATTCTGTTTCTGTGCCCTGAGCTCCCTGAGGGCAGAGACTCAGCCTCATTCAGCTCAGCACCCCGGCGCCCGGCGCCTGGGCCACGGTGGGCTGAATGCCCTTGCTTTGCCTCTGGACTCCTTACTCTTCCACGCCCTTACCCCTGCTCCCACCTCCACACCTTTGCCCATCCCGTTCCTCCTCCGACGCCCTGCCCACTCCCACCCCCGCTGTCCAGATCATCCTCATCCACTCCCAGCTGGAATGCTCCATTTCCCCAGTCCCTCCCGTGGGAATTCATCCGTCTTTCTTCTCACCCCCAAATAACACCCTCTCTTCCTTCTCGTCATTCCGTCTGGTTAAATCGGGTTGAACCATATGAATTGCCGCTGTACCGCCCATTTTGACCTCCTATGGTCAGCCTCACAGTGCTTTATGTCCACTGTCACACCCGTCCAGTAGAATCCGGGCAGGCTCTGCACCAGATGCACTTCTGCCCCGTGGGCTGGGCTGGGGCCTCACCTGCCCCCCTTTGGGGGAGGGCTCCTCTGATCCTCACCATCCAGGCTTAGCTTAGCAGTGCTCCCTTCAAGAAGGTTTCTCTCACCCATCCCAACCACATCGGGGGCACTCCTCCTCTGTGTTCTCACAGACCCCTCACCCCCCTCCCATCACGTCCTAACACTGGGTGGTGAGTGCCCCGCTCCTTGGATCTCTCACTCTGAGGACAGGGCCTGAGGCTCCTTCACCATGGTCCCCAGCCCCTGGCAGCATCCGGCCCGGGTCACTCACAGGAGAGGGAGTGAAGGGCACCCCAGCGATCTCACAACGTTTTTGCAAGTACAGGACGATAGGCTCTGCTGTCTCAGAGCCACTGCTCTGGGGTCGAATAGCCCACCTGAATTTGCTCTTGACCCCAAGGGTGGGAGAGAGGATGGTTCCAGGCCTGCCATCCCTGCGCTGGGCGCCAAGACCCAGGCAGCAGGCGTCACAGCCTCCCTTCCACTCCGCACAGGACGAGATGGAGGTGGGCTACGTCCAGGCCCCGCACAAAACGCTGCCCGTGGTCTTTGACTCCCCGAGGAACAGAGGCCTGAAGGAGTTCCCCCTCAAATGCGTGCGGGTACGTACGTGCTGGGGGGGCACCAGCTGCTGACAGCCCCCTCCTTGAGGACCCTCCCTCCTCGCCTGTCTCCCCAGCCCCGCCCCTACAGCCGAGCCTGCCGTTGCTGTTTCTGTTATCACCACGATGACATGTGTCTCTTCCTTTCCCGAAGCCCCTTCCAGCCATGAGCTCACTTTGTCCTCGAGATAACCCTGCAGAGGACACGGGTCAGGCTTGGGCATCCTTGTTCCACTGAAGATGCTCTTGCTGCAAGGTGGGGGTGGCGCCAGGACCAGAACCTTCCCCAACATCCAGCTGGCGGCTCTGTCTTTTGGGTGGGGTCTGGCCTTCTGGGATTTGAGGCGGGGGATTCAGGATCAGAGTGATCATTTCCTCGGTGGGATTTTATCAGCCAAAGACTCTATATGTGTTTGGGGGGTTGGGTGACATATTGGTGACTCACGCTTGACTTGCCTGGCAGGTTCGTGCAAACTCAGCAGAGAATTATAATAATAATAATGGGTACATTTACTGAACATGTGTTCTGTCAATCACAGTGCTAAAATCTACCTGCACTGACTCATTTAATTTGTCTGACAACCTTTAATGTAGATGCTATCACATGGCCCATTTTATAGATGAAGAACTGAGGCTCAGAGAGGTGAAGCAGCTTTCCCAAGCTCACACAAAAAGAGAATGGAGAAGTTGGGGGCGGCCCTGTGGTGTAGTGGTTAAGTTTGGCATGGTCTGCTTCAGCAGCCTGAGTTCACGGGTTCGTGTTCCGGGCACAGATCTACACCACCATCAGCCATGCTGTGGCGGTGACCCACATACAAAATAGAGGAAGAATGGCACAGATGTTAGCTCAGGGTTAATCTTCCTCACCAAAAAAAAGAAAAAGAGAGAGAGAGAATGGAGAAGTTGGAATTCAAACCAGGCTGGTCTGGCTCGGTGAGCATGCTCTTAACCACACGCCTCCCCACTTTCCCAGGAGGACGCTAGGCCTGCACTCCAAGCCCTGACAGCTCCTTGACTCCGGGTGCCAGGGAAAATGGAGGAAAGAGTGTGGGGTGCAACGTTTGCCGTGATGAGTGGCTTTCTAAGGAGCACCCTGCGCCCCAAGGGAGGGGAGGTGGCCCTGCCCACATGGAGGCGTTGAAAGGAAACCTGAGGTTAACTCAGCAACTTGTCCGAGGCGCACTAACTCTCCCGTGCTGAGTGGTGCCGATGCAAAGATTTTGTTGGGTTCGAGGTGTCTCTCTGCCATGGAATCAGGTTAATCCTGTTTTGGGAGCAACGGGATAACTTAGCCAACTACCTCGGAGACTTTGGCCCTTCTCGCTGGTGCCAGTCCTGCTCTGTTCAGTGGTGGTGTCTCCTTCTTGATATTCCAAGTGTAACAAGGCCCCACCTGTTTCTCCAACCTGATCGTGGGCCACCTTCCCTGTCCCTCACCGGCTCCAGCCCCGCTGGCCTCTTTCCTGTTCTTCAAATGTGCCCAACTTTGAAGGCTGGTGCCAGCACTGAAGGTCTCAGCGCCAACGCCCTCCTCAGTGGGGCCGTCCTAACGCTGAAGGACACCCCACCCAGCCCGTGGCATTCTCCACCGCTGCACCCTGTTGGTTTCTTCTGAGTATTTTGTTATAAATCCCTGACTTGATGCTTATTCTTCATTGTCTGCCCCCCTGCCGGACTGGAAGCACCACGAGGGCAGGGCTGAAGCCGTGCTGCCCATCACGGGACACTGTGCGCTTAGCACGCAGCTTGACACACCGTGGGTGTTCTTTCTGGAAGCCCGTGTCAGTAAATTCCGTTCCACCTCTGTAACAGGAGACCAGCAGCGCTTACCATACATAGAAGGCAACTGTGAAATTAAACAGAATTACAACAAAATTAAATTATTAAAGCCAGCTCGATACAAATGGCTGCAAAAACTCTGAGCCAAGGTTGTGCTCTCTCTCTGGTTAAGATGGGAGGTCAGCAGGTGTTCAGGATGGATTCACACCACTGGGAGGCTTTAGTCTTCAACAAACTGGAAAGCCCGGAGGAGAACTGAAAGGACCACATTTGTAAGCCTGCACCGGAAGTTGTGTCAAGCAGCGCGTGTGAGCATCCTCTGTGCGTCCCACGCGTGGGGAGCCACTTCTGTGGACTGTGGACACCCCTTCATTTGCCTGCAGAAATCCAAGCCTGCAGCCTGTGGAACTGATCCCCTCTCCTGGCGAGAGCCAGGGCAGCGACTTGTGTGATTTCATCATTCATTCATCAAACAGTCTTTGAGCACTTACTCTGTGCCCGGCCCTGTTCTGGGCACTTGGAGTTCGTCAGTGAGCAGGCCAAGGCCCCTGCCCTCTCAGAGTCGACGCTCTAGTCCAGAGAGACAGACAATGAACAAGAAGTCTAACAAATAAATAAATTCCGTCGTACACTGGAGGGTGGACTCAAGGGCTTTAGGCAAAGGGAGAGCAGAATCAAGGGGCTCCCAGGTGCCAGAGTGGTGGGAGGATTAGACTGCAACTTTAAATAGCATGTCAGGGTAGGCCTCATGGAGAGGCTGACATTGGAGCAAAAACTCGAAAGGGGTGAAGGAGTTGGCCTTATGGACCTCTGGGTGAAGAGTGTTCTAGGCAGAGGGAACAGCCAGTGCAAAGGCCCTGAGACAGGGCATGCCTGACATGTTCAGGGAGGAGCGAGGAGGCCAGAAGTGTGAGGGGGTGATGGGGGATGGGGTGTGAGGGGGGAAGATCCTGTGGGCTTGTTGGCCATTGTAAGGCCATTTGTTTAGAATCTGAGAAACTGGGGAATCATTGGAGGGTCTTAAACAGAGGAGGATTATGATCTGATTGATGTTGTAAAAGGGAAGCTCTGGCTGCATGTCGAGAATGGACGGCAGGGGCGAGGGCAGGGGCAGGGAGAGTGGGGAGGAGGCTGGGGCAGTGACCAGGTGAGAGATGATGGGGGCGCAGACCCAGGGAGCAGGATTGGGGTGAGAAGTGGCCAGATTCCGGATATGTTTGAGGGCAGAGCCTGCAGGATTTCCTGACGGCTGCGAGGACGTGACAAGCCAAAGGTGACATCAGGCTCTGACCTTTGTGAGCGGCAGGCGCCATGCCCTGAGATGGGGAGCACTGTGGGAGGGGATGAGGGGTGGGAAGAGGGTCAGCCGTTCCGTTTGGGGCGGTGTGAGATATTGAGTCAGCATCCAAGAGGGGAGTCGGGCAGTGGTTGCGCGTGTGGAGTCTGGGAGGAGGTGCGGACTGGGGATATGGTGTGGGCTTTTCAGCACGTGGATGGTATTTCCTGGGCCTGGGCAAGGCCACCAAAGCGGAGAGTGAGCTAGAGAAAGGAGACCAAGGACTGGGCCCGGGCCCGTGCTCAGGAGACCGTGAGGGGGCCACGGTGAGGGGCGACCAAGAGCACTCAGGGTCCCAAAGGCCAAGTGGAAAGAGGGAAGGCCGTGGGTGTGACCCGCTGACTCAGTCGCTGCTGGTGGGCGAGGAAGACGAGGCCTGGGCAGTGCCCACTGGGTTTAGCTGTGGGGTCACGCAGGCCTCGACGAGAGCAGTTTTCATGGCACAGTGGGGGTGGAACTCAGGTTCGCATGGGTTTAGAGAGAAAGGGAATTGGAAATGATGGTATTTATTTTTTCATTCATTCACTCGTTCATTTATTTTGAGGAAGATTGGCCCTGAGCTAACTCTGTTGTCAATCCTCCTCTTTTTTGCTGAGGAAGACTGGCCCTGGGCTAACATCTGTGCACATCTTCCTCTACTTTATATGGGACACCGCCACAGCATGGCTTGATCAGAGGTGTATAGGTCTGCACCCGGGATCCGGACCCGCGAACCCCGGGCCGCCGAAGCAGAATGCGTGAACTTAACTGCTATGTCACCGGGCGGCCCTGGAAATGATGGTTTTTAAACTCGTGGAGACACAGACCTCCTAGAGACTACCCATCTTCCAAGAAAAATGCACCCAGGCTCACAATTTGGAATCTCCTTGCAGGAAGTCTGTGGCCCCGTGAATTGAAGAACATCGATTTGTAGAAGGTGGAATGAGTGATGGCCCCTCCAATATGTCCACGTCCTAATCCCCAGAACCTGATGCTATCTTATATGCAAAAGGGACTTTGCAGATGTGATTAAGTTAGGGATCTGGAGATGGGAAATTCTCCTGGATTCTCCGGGTGGGTTCTCTGTAATCATGACGCTCCTCATAAGAGGGAGGAGGGAGGGTCGGAGGGGGACAAGGTGCGTGATGACAGAGTGATGTGCTCTGAAGACGGAGGAGGAGGCCAACAGCCGGATGGCCGCAGGAGCTGAAAAAGGCAAGGAAATGGATTCTCCCCTCAGAGCCTCCAGAAGGAACCAGCCCTGCCACACCTGGACCTGAGCCCAGGGAAACTGACTTCAGACTTCTGACCTCCAGAGCTGTGAGAGAATAAACGTGTGTTGTTTTAAGCCACTAGATTTGTTACAGCCACAGTGGGAAACTAACACAGGGGTGAGAGATGTATCGTCCACCTGTTCTTCTCCCAAAGATCCAGTGGAGGCATCACAGCCGTTGGGCGAAGCTCATTCCAGCCCGAGATCAGGACGGCGCACGGTGTGGAGCAAGAGGGCCTGCCGTAGAGACAGTTCAAATCCTGGTCCTTCCACAAACTGGCTGTGGGACCTGCAGAAGCCACACCCCACTCTGAGCTTAGTTTCTTCTCTGCAAAATGAGGATAAAAATGATATTTTGTGGATTTGTTATTATGCCCAAGTTCAGGTTTACGCGCATTAGGGACTGGCAGCTTGTAGGCAGTAGGGACTGTTCACAAATGCCGGTCCCTTCCCCTGCCCCCCGACCCAGCTGCCTCCAGCATCCCACAAACACTAACGGCGCCTGCTGGGTACCAGCTGCCCACGTTACCCAATTCCCTCCTGTGACCAGGTTAACCTTTGACCTTGGACCCCACCCTCTCTTCACCCCGAGACTCAGTTCTCTAACACTTGGCACGTGCTTCTCCCATCTCAGGGTCCAGATTTTGGCTACGTGACTCGAGGGCCCCAGACAGAGGAGATCAGCGACCTCGACTCCTTTGGCAACCTGGAAGTGAGCCCCCCAGTCACAGTCGGGGGGAAGGAGTACCCGCTGGGCAGGATTCTCATTGGGAACTGCAGTTACCCCAGGTGAGGAGGGAGGCGTGGAGAGGGGCGGACGCAGGGACACTGCGGAAAAGCAGAGGCCAGAGCAGAGGCCTTCCCAACTTGCTCCCAACCCACGAGGGCGCGACAAACTTGAGGGCTTGTGGGAGGAATCCCAGTGCAGGGCAAGGTACGCGGGCTTAGGAGCCCGATAGACCCAGGTTCACCTTCCAGCTCTGCTGTTCACTCTCAGTCAGTGAACACTTCCTGAGCACCTACTGTGTGCCAGGCACTATGCTAGGAGCTAGGGAGGAATGCTGCCACGAACGTGACAGACAAGTCCCTGCCGCTATTCTAGTGAGAGAGACACATAATAGAAAAGTAAACAAATAAGATAATTTCAAATAGTGAAGAAAACAAAAAAGAGAGGAGCAGAGGAGGAGTGGGAACTATGTTAGTCAGAGTGACCAGGGAGGGCCTCTCTGGGGAGGGGGCTTTTGAGCTGAGGCCTGATGACTAGAAGGACATGGCTGCTTGGAAATCTGGGGTAGAAAGTTCCTGGCAGATGAAAGAGCACGTGCAAAGGCCCTGAGACAGAAATGAGCTTGGCGTGTTCAAGAAGGCCAGAGAGGCTAAAACAAGTTGAGCAAGAGGAAAGGCAAAGGGCTAGATCACAGAGGACCTTGGTGACCAGAGCAAGGAGAAAACTGAAGCTCAGAAAGATGAAGGAATGTCCCCAAGGCCACACAACTAACAAGGGATCACGAACTCAGGTAGGACCAGCTCCCAACCCCATGTTCACCCACAGCACCAGCATCTAGGCTAAGTCAACACACAGTGCTTTCTGAGGCTAAGCTCTGGTCCTATTGACCTTGGTGACTCTGTGCCTCAGTTTCCCCCCAATAAAACTGGGATGACAATTCCTCAATTCCACACATGTTAGGGGATATAATAAAGGCATCCCAGGCTCCTGAATCTCTTCCCTGAAGGAGATCCCTGACCCCTTGCCAAGCCTCCAGGCCCTCAGAGACCTGCCCGTTGACACCCCGACCCCATAACATGTGTTCCATCCTGCGTTGGCAGCGAGGAGAGCCAGGAGATGCACCAGGCCCTGCAGGACTTCCTGATCGCCCAGCAGGTGCAGGCCCCCGTGAAGCTCTACTCCGACTGGCTGTTCGTGGGCCACGTGGACGAGTTCCTTAGCTTCGTTCCCGCGCACAAGAAGGTGCAGTCTGGGGGCCTGGAGGAGGCCACGTCTCCTTCCTGGGTTCCAGGCACAGCCCTGCACTCTGCCTGGGGGGCCGCCCTGCCTGACTCTGTTTTTCCCTCACCCCCAGGAGGGGGCAGGGAGGAGGTGCCCAGCCTGGGTCCAAGCCACACTCCCTGCACCCTTGGCCGGCCCTCCTCCTTGGGAGCCCCAGGGTCAAAGCTGACCTCTGACCCCAGTGTTTCTGCCTCCAGGGCTTCCGGCTGCTCCTGGCCAGCCCCAGGTCCTGCTACAAACTGTTCCAGGAGCAGCTGAAGGAGGGCCACGGGGATGCTCTGCTGTTCGAAGGCGTCACGAGTAAGTTGGCCATGCTTTGTTCTTCTGAGCACCTACTGTGCGCCAGGCCCCATGCTAAGCGTGGGGGATGCTGTGTGAACAGGGCAGAATAGCTCCCTGCCTCAGCGCTCGCAGTCCAGGGGAAGGGAGTCAAGAGAACAGCTACAACAGGAGGGCTTTGGAGGGTGTCTGGGAGGAGCTCAAGGAAGGCTTCCTGGAGGAGGCAAAGACCAAGCAGGAGCATGAGGGATGAGCAGGAGTTGGCCAGGCAAATGGGGTTGTGGGATGAGAGGAAGAGAGAGATTCCAGATAGAGGGAACAGTGAATAGAAGGCTCAGAGGCAGGAGAAAGCAAGATGTGTTTGAGGTTCTGAAAAAAACTCAGTCTGGCTGGAGCACAGAATGCAATCTTACTTTTTCAGTAAAGTCCACTGACATGGGCTGGGGTCAGAGGTCGAGCAGCCTCCACAGCTGAGAGTTTTCAGCTAATATCTGTAGTATGTCGTGTGGCATGGGGCAACGGTTGGACCTCTGTTTGCCCCTTGGCAAATGAGATCCCTTTGGAGACAACAGAATTTAAGGGGGTGAGAGCAACGCTTTTAATGAGAACTTACCCTGATAAAATATTTCATTAAAGGCATTTGCCTCTCAGATGCTCAAACAAACCCGTATGTGAGGAATTATTGCTGTCCCCATTTTAATAGAAGGGAAAACTGAGTCCCCACTGCACCTGCTGGGAAGAGGGAAATTGACCTCTGAATTCACCTGCATTTTTTTTTCTTTTTCTCCATGACAGAAAAAAAACAGCAGAAAATAAAGGACATTCTGTCAAACAAGAAACTGAGAGAACATAATTCATACGTGGAGGTATGGCCTGGGTGCCCGGGGGATGCCACGTCCTGGGCAGACCTGACGACCCCCTGCCCCAGCCACCTTCCCTGCAGTCAGGGGCGCAAGCAGAACCCTCCACAGGCTGCGTGTGGCTCCGTGGTGGATGGCCCTGGGATCTGGGCAAATGTGTGAGAGGCGGGAGGGAGATTCAGTCACCGTTACACAAGGTGATGCACGGAAAAGAGAGGAAGATAGGAGAGCCAGGGTCAGAGCAAGACAGTGAAACTCTCAGAAACAGAGGGACAGAGGCAGGAGAGAGGCCAGGCAGAGTGACAGAGTGACCAGAAAGGCAGGGACACGGGAGCAGAAGCGAGAGGCGGGGAGACTGAGCAGAGCAGAGCAGCGAGGGAAGGAAGAAGGAGAAGGAGGTGCCCATCACTGCCTTCCGGACCCTGTCCTGGTCCTTCCCCGGGCCTCCCCCCCAGGCGGCCCCCCTGCAGCGCCCCGCCCCGCCCCGGGCTGGCCAGGACATCCCCATCTCCGCCTCCCGCCCCAGAGCTGCATCGACTGGAACCGGGAGGTGCTGAAGCGGGAGCTGGGCCTGACGGAGCGGGACATCATCGACATCCCCCAGCTCTTCAAGCTCCAGCAGGACTCCAGCGGGACCTTCAAGGCTGAAGCCTATTTCCCCAACATGGTGAGGAGGGGCCTTCGGGGTCGCCCCACTGCTGCCAATGGCCTTGGGTCCGGGAGGCCCGCTGCGCTCCCGGTGCGGGTCCAGAAGGCGTGGCTGTCTGCCCGCCCACTTGGGGTTTGCGTGGCCCCGTGCAGCTTACAGAGCAGCTTCAGGCATCTCACACCCACCCTGGGAGTCAGAGACTGTCGTCACCCCCACTTCACAGAGGAGGCCCGGAGAGGTCAGGTCTCTGCCACAAGAACACACAGCCGGGAAGAGGCGGGATTCCGAGCTGGGACTCAAAGCCGGGGGTCTGGCTGCAGAGCCCATGTTCTAACCACCACACTGCACTGCCCTCTATGGCTTCCCTGCGGGGGCGAGGGGCAAGGTAGAAGTGGGGTTCGGGGGAGATAAGCAACAAGTGTTTGGAATTGAGTAAATGTGGGGGCTGCTCTTCAGACGTGGTGGTCCGGGAGGGCCTCTCTGAGGAGGTGAGGCTGGTGCTGCCCAGCCTAGGTGGGCTGCACCCCTCTGAATGGCGGACTTGAGGGGGATCCGCCTTTGTTAAGAACTTTTAACTGTGACCCGCAAGCACCATCTCGAAGTGATCTACTCTATTTTTGCTGTCCCGCTGTCCTGTTACCCTGTCTCCTCAAAGGATACCCAAGGGCCAGGCAGAAACTTCGCCAGTTCTCCTGGGGCAGCCGCCCCCTCCTGCTGGGCTGGGGGTTACAGTCCAAGGAGGAGCCAGGAGTCCTGGCACAGAGGTTGTCACACTGGCTTCCCCAGGGCGCTGGGGTTTCAAGGTCATTCCTCAAATCCAGTGGTTTGGATTTTTTCCATTTTGTGCACTGAGATGCAGCAAAAGATGTTGTTGAGAATAAAGGGCTGCTTGGCCAGAACAAGGCAGGAGGGGCCACCCTCCTCTCACCCCTGAATAAAATTCCTTGGCCCCAAGCATTTTGTTTCTTCTCCTGTTGAGCCCAGCCAGCTTTCCCAGCTCAGGAAAGAAAGTGATGCCTGTGGCTGGGGGATGTAATAGGCGATGCTGAGGGCTGACTCTGTGCCTTCCCTGCTCAGGGCCCCCATGGGAGGTGGGGCGTGGGCATGGGCATGGAACAGCAGAGAAATTAAGAGTGCAAGGCACTCAGCTTGGGCTGTGTCTGAGCGGTGACAGAGAATGCGATGCCCCTTCAGTGACTCAGCCCCGCAGACTGACTCTGCGCTTACTACCCGCTGGCTCAGTGCCCCACAGACATGTTCCTATCTGATTGTCACAGCAACAGAAACGTGTTTGGGCTCATTTTGCTGATGAGGCTCAGAGAGGTGAAGCGACTTGCCTAAGGTCACACAGCTATTGAGTGGTAGAGCTGGGATTCCAACCCACGTTGGCCTGGAGCCAACATCCTCGTCCCTTCACCTCACCAGGCCACCTCCCAATATCATGGAGGAAACAGAGTCATTTACATACGTTATAACGTACAGAAAGTGCTACACGAGAGGTAGTCACTTATTCCTCCATTTAACAGATATCAATTAAGGCACTGTGCTGGGAGCTACGGGAGCACAGAGGAGGAGTGACTGTTGTCAGAGTTTGGGGATTCATGGGCGGCTTCACAGAGGAGGTGGCATTTGAACTGGGCCTTGAGTAGTAGGGTTTGCCAGAGGTGGCAGGTGGGGAAGGAGAGTATAGTGTTAAGAGCATAGAGCCCGGAGTGCGATAGACTTGGATGCAAGTCCTAGACCAGCTGGGTGGCCTTAGGTAGCCTCTTTACCTGTGCGGGCCTCAGTTTCCTCATCTATGAGGTGGGCTGTCATTTCCGAGGGTTGGAAGAAGAAGGGGGTGCCAGGATAGCGGTGTGGGCTGCATGCTGCTGCCCCTGACCTGGGCGCCCACTTCTTTGCAGGTGAACATGCTGGTGCTGGGGAAGAACCTGGGCATCCCCAAGCCCTTCGGGCCCATCGTCAACGGCCGCTGCTGCCTGGAGGAGAAGGTGCGGTCCCTGCTGGAGCCGCTGGGCCTCCACTGCACCTTCATCGACGACTTCGGCACCTACCACGTCCGGCACGGGGAGGTGCACTGTGGCACCAACGTGCGCCGGCAGCCCTTCTCCTTCAAGTGGTGGAACATGGTGCCCTGAGCCCGTCCCCATGACATCCTCTCCCTCGGGAAGCTCCTGGCCAGAGGCTCAGGTCCCCTGCGCTGTGGCCCAGCAAGAGCTCCTGGGGACGTTTTGGCTCCCCTGGGGGAGCTACTCTCCCTGCGGTGGCTTGCTTCCTTCCCCTGTGTCCCGGCCCCTGGGGCCCCGCTCTGAAGATCCCAAGACAGTCCTGGCTTTGCAAACTCAGTTCTGCTGCAATAAAGCTTTATAATCACTTCATACTTGAGGTCAAGCCACCATTCCTATCATTCATTCATTCATTCATACACTCATTGTCGTGGTGGAACTGGACGTTACAAACTTGAAGGTGCTTCCAGGATATGTTGAAGTCCAATGTGTGTCTTTTGCTCCCGGGCATGTATTTGGTCTATAAAATCTTCTGTGATCTGAGCCTCGTTGATTCTCAGCTTTAGCCCTGAGGGTGCGGCACGTTCCTCCTCAGAGCTGTGTGGAGTCACTTCCCGAACAGCCAGCCAGGAGAACATCCCAAGATACACAGATTATTATTCGTGGATTATTCACTTTAATATGTGAGTGTATAAAATACACTCCTTTGTATGTATATTTCATGATAAAAAATAAAATTCTAAAAAGTAGACCAGACTCTAGGGGCACGTTGGCAGAAGGGCAGGTCGTGCAGCAGGGACCGTCCCCATGTCAGCCTGAGGCTTCTCCACAGACGAGTGACATTTACAATGTTGGAGGGCAAATGTGGGGCCAAAGAATTATATCTCCATTCATGTCATCCTCTGAGAAAAAGGCAACAGACAGGCCATGCAAGAACCCGAGGGGGACATAAGGATCTGACTGTGATGTCAAACACGCCCAGACACGAGCGAATTCTTTGTCCCTCCCATTTGTCATTTCCATCCCACCAGCTTGAAAGCCCCATCCAGCGAATTCTGGTCCCCCCTGTTTGCTGCTGTGCCACAGGCTCCCGAGAGCTGGGCGGGCACATAGAGCCGGGGGTTTTGTGGAATGAAGTCATTAGTCCCCTCTCAGTCCTTTTGAATATTTTCTTTTGTGGTCCTGACATAGGGACTTCGATTCCTCTGTAGAACATAAAACTTGATGACTTGAGATCTTTACAACTGAGGTCAGATCTTGGCTCCACAGAGCCTGAGATGCTCAGGAAACACCCAGAGCTACTGTTTTCATGTGGGTCATGGAGGACGTAGGATGGTGGGACAGACAGACATCAAAAGCCCCTGCCCTGACGCTGAGGAAAAGGGATCCATGAAACCTGGGTCGACACGTGCTTCTCTGACGAGAATCAGCTGTCCCCCGCCCTACCCCCAGAATTTGCTGGAGCAAAAGATGCAGGAGTGTTTCTTGTGGACCAGAAGGGGGCCGCGCACAAGAGGAAGCTGGTGTGAGGTTATCCCAGAACCTGACCCACAGGGCTGCCTGTAGCAGCGAGCGGCCTCAGCAGACAAAGGCTAAAAGTTTCACTAGATTCCTGGGGCTGCAGAAGGATCGAGAGACAAGCTGATGGATAAGCAGACTGGCATCACGGCAAATGCGGGTGACCCCCCCCCCAGCCATTCATAGAGGGTGGGGGGCATCTGGGAAGGAGCCAGGGGGTCCTGCAGGAGAGAAAGCAGCAGTCTAAGTCCTTCCAGCCCCAAAGAGCACGGAGCCATCTTGTGACAGTGCTCGAGGAGCAAGAAATTTCCTGCTTCCTCCCGGACACCCATTCCCTACCCATTCCCTTCCCTTTCCCGGAGCGCAGCGTAGATTCCCGCAGCTGCTGTAACAAATTACCACAAACTGGGTGGCTTCAAACAACAGAAATTTATTCGCTCACAGTTCTGGAGGCCAGAAGTCCAAAATCAGTGTCACTGGGCCGAAATCAAGGCGTCTGCAGGGCCGTGTTCCCTCTGGGGGCTGCAGGGGAGAATCCGTTCCTCGCCTCTTGCCCCTTCCAGTGGCTGCAGGCATATCCCTCGGCTGGCGGCTGCGTCTCTCCACCTCTGCCTGGGTGGTCACACTGCTTCTCCGTGTGGGTCAAATCTCCCTCTGCCTTTCTCTTACAAAGAGGCTTGTGAGGGCATTTAGGGCCCACCCAGATAGTTCAGGACAATCTCCCCAGACTCTGGGTCACATCTGCAGAGACTCGTCCTGTGTGAAATAACACAGCTTCCAGGGGTTAGGACCTGATAGCTTTCAGGGGCCATTACCCAACCCACTACAGGTCAGGACCCACCCGTGGCCAGCTGTGCAGGCGGAAAGGAGAGAGGGAAGCCTAGCACCCCCTTTCCACAGCTCTAACTTTGAACCTCCATTAAACCCTAACGGGAAAGGGGCGAGACGTCCTCTTTTTAAATTGAGATTTAACTGACATATAACATTCTGTAAATGTAAAGAGTACACCGTGTTGATTTGATACATTGCAATATCATTACCACTGTAGTGTAGCTAACACCTCTATCAGGTCTCATCATTATCATTTCTTTCTTGTGGGGGCAGATTTAACTTTATAAAACCAAGTTTGGGGTTTTCCTTTGTGTGGGGTTCGACTTTCGAACATCTGAATTGAGATTCGTTGGCAACTGTTTTGTGTCTGCTTCCCCAAAACAGATTCTGAGACGGAGATCTGTATGCAGGAGGTTTAATGGGGGAGGGGTGAGGGTTAGAGGGTGCTCTCAGGATCCACACCTGGGAGGGAGTGTGGGGAGCAGCAGCAGATGATGAACTGGGATGTAGTGCCCACAAAGTTTTCAGGTAATCCCATGGGACGCTCTGGGGCTGGGATGGGCCCTCGGAGTTGTCCTGAATTAAGACAAGCAGCCTGCCCTTTGCCCCCCAACATTGGATGTAGCTGCCCCCAAGGAGGGGACATAGCCTGGGGAGTTGGCAGCGGACAATTCCAGGAGACGGACTTGCTGTGAGCGGCCAGAAGCCAACGCTCACAGCAGCCGGGGGACGAAGTGCCTCCGCCCTGAAGGGGGTCAGCTGGCACACCACAGCATTCACCACAGTGACCTAAAGTGACCATGGGACTCGATTACCAAAGAGTGATTGGAGAACTTTCTACACTGAATAAGCGTGCGAGGAGTCGTGTAAAGTTGCTTTATGGTTACAAAGCCCTCGGTTTGGAGGGAGAGCTCTGTGGAAGCCCCCTGGGTTATCTTTTGGAGGGGGGGTCATTTAGTCATTTCCTGTGCAAGAATTTACTGAGTACTACTATGTCCAGGACTCTCTTGTGAAAGAAAAGGTGAACAGGAAGCCCCCCGGAGGGAGAGCAGGACCCGCTCTAGCTCTCTCCAAGTCCGTCTCATGCCCAGAGGGGTCTCCCTCCACAGGCTGAGGGTGTCCCTCCCCAATACACTCAGGCAGAGCCCGGGCACAAGGCAGGGCTGCCTGAGTGGGAAGGAACAGAGCTCCCAGGCTGTTGTGCTCCAGACTCCGGGCCCAGCCCTCAGCGACCCCTCCCCAGTGTCTTGACATGAGTACAGCCATGTTTGGCCGCTCCATTGACCTACAGCCACCAGCACAAACAGAAATACCAAACCACTTTCTGTGTGGTGGAAACTGGCCCTTCCCCCACAGAGAGAGTTGCAAGTTGTAACATTTCAAGGCTCTTGGAGCACCGTAGCACGGGATGGACTGGCCATCTGTGCCGGGCTAGGACGA